GAGCCGTTAGGAATATTTTCTCAGTTGTCATCGTGGCAGAGGTCAGCAGAACAGCAAGTACCCACTTGTGACATACATATCGTTTCCCAACTCCTGCTCTCATTCCTTTGTTTCCTCTCCAACTTTAGCAGGAAATAAAGGAAGGAATGACAAAGAGTGAGGGAGAAGAAAGGAGTAAGAAACAAGGAAAAAGGAAAGAAGGAAGGAAGGAGGGAGGCAGGGAGACAAGTAGAGCAGGACGGTCTGGAAAGGGAGGGATACGGCAAACAGGCATTTAACTGGCTCCACTATTCATAGTCTTGATTTTTGTCTTCTTTTTCTTACGAACAATAATAAAGAAAGTCCCTAAATTAAATAGTAAATAATAAATATTTACTATCTATGGAAATAGTAAGTGCTCTCTTGATTCAAAAATTCTTAGCAGCTGCTACTAGGACATCAGAAGCTAAGTAGCATCAGGTGTCTATTATTATACCCAGCCCAGCAGTTGCAGAACTTATATTTAATTCTGAATGTAACACTTAACCCTTACCTTGCTGTAATATTATGGTTCTTATGTAAAGCTTTCACGAGGTTCTCTCCAGGAGCCCTTGCCTATACTACTAAAGAATGCATGAATAATTGAAAAACCACACATTACAAAAATATCTCACTCAGGGCAATGGTTTCACAAGTTCTCTTTCCTTCAAAAGTGGACCAGAACACACATTATCTTTTCTCTGTCCTACTCATTGTCTGGTGGGAGATCGTAGAGCTATAAAATAGACAGGGTTCAATAATTCAAATGCTGTAGTCCAAATTCTATATAATCACTCTGTACATAATACAATCACTGATATCCTCCACCAGTCAATAAACATTTTCATTACACAAAAACTCCAGAAAACAATACAGTATAGACCCCACCATTAGAAGTGACTATCTATTTGGAGAGATGTTATCAACATGGGATAAACGATTGCAGCGTGCAATTCTACTGGCAGTCAGAATTCACAAAGGTGAACAAGATGGCTGTGGGCCAGTGTAGACATTTGAGTTAGGCATTGGAAGCATATTTTTTTACTTCAATATGAAGGAACTATTGACTTACGAGTTCCTGCATGCCTATTCCTAGTCATGTGCTTACTCGGTGGAACCATAAAACCAAAGCCAGGAATTTAAAGTCGCCACATAGGAAATATTTCCTCATATCAGAAATATGTGCTATTACGGGCTTCTTCTATGCTTCAGCTTTATTTGGAAAGTACAGTGTTAGTGGGGGTGAGTGGCATTGAGTCGTGTTGTGACTTTCCACATGTTCAATGCGCCAGGTGGAAAGAGTTCATGTGTTGGACACCTGCAAAATAGTAGACAACATGCTGAGCATTTTCTTGAGAAGCCATCGTTTTCTCCTGATAACAACTATCTATGGTGTTGCACAGCTAGGACAACATGTCAAGGCCAGAATGCTCGTCTCTAAAGCGGGAGCCCTTTGTAGAACCTCATGCTGTCTCTTCTGTACCACCTACTGGTCTATCAACATTTGAGCTGCCTGGTAGAACTAAAGAGCAGAGCAAACTAACTGAAGACACACTACATTCCAGCTTTTATTTGGTCCAGCTGCAGATTCTTGCAAATGTACATAATCTAACTGAATAATTTCCCCAAATCTATATAACAGTACTATTAACTCCCCTACACTATAGAAATACAAGATTCACCATCCACATGTGCACACACAGACACATAGTCACATACACTTCACACACACACACACAACTGCCACTTTCCCCACATCACACCATATACACACAGAATGATCCTTTGATTCTTTTTATTCTTCTTTCTGAAACCGTTCAACTTCAGGGAAATGGGGAAACATACAGCTGATTACTTGACAATTGAGGTAGTTAAGCCTGACTGGCTCTAAAATGTCCTGATGTCTTGAAGACGTGTCTTCTTAATTGGCTTCACATTATTAATTTTGTAGACAAGATGCCTGCAAAGAAATTGTCATATTTTTCCATGGCTGTTCTTAAAAAAGAATGATAAAGTACAGGCTATAAAGAGAATCAAATCCTGGGACATTGGAACCAGCCCACAAGTCCACCCTCATTTCTGCTCTGGGTTGTTGTGTCCTCTCTTAGGATACATCCCACAAAAACAAGTATTTTCTCAAGCCTCTGACAAAGAGTGAGTCATTGTGTTATGAAAAACCCTTTCTTGAAGGCAAGAGCAGCTATGGCTTTGGGGCTGGGGATGTGGATAGAGGAGCCACATACCAATAGATTCATATGTACTAATCAGACCTGAGACCGAATGAACTTGCACCTGAAACTACAAGGCAGACTGGTAGGATGAAGACTGAGAATACAGAACTGGGATCCTTCAAGCTCCTTCATTTTTTCTATCATCTCACCAAAATTTATAAAGTGATATAATGTACTCTTGGTTTCTACAGACTTTTGATCCTTTCACCTCAAAAGTCTCAAAAGTTTTTCTTTATTGATAAAAGCAAGCACTAGGTGTGAGTTGCAGCTCCAAACTTTCTGCAGCATAATTAATTTATACTGTCGGATTTAAACTCACTTATTCTGTGGAAGATCTTTTTTTGCCCCTCTTCTGAGGTCAGGCGCACATCCACTCTGTGTTCCAGACATTTTTTTTTTGCAGACATTTTGCAAGAGGTAAGTCTGTCACAGGATGAAATTTGAGACTCAAAGGGATCCCTGATACTTAAAGGGATTTATGTGGCAGGAGAGAACCGGCACCCTCTGCTAGGGATGGACTACATACAGGGCTCCCACATCCAAGCTGGGTGTTCCAATCTCTGGCCTCTTAGGACTGACTTGGATTTCCGAGTCTGATCCTTGTGGAAAGTGAATGTATTATAACTCTAACATAGGAGGGAACATTAATATTTATAATATTATCACAAGATCAAAACTTCCTTTCAGATGCTTCCAAATTTCTATTCACTCTGAATTTACTTATAAACTAAATTTCTCTTTCTTTCTTACTTAGCCTGCGTGGGGAACCAAGAGGGTGATGGTGCTAACACTACGTAATATGTAAGCAAGCTCAAGAACTATTTTTTGAGAAAATGAAAAAAATGGAAATAAAGTGGTTGTAAATGGGGAGGGGAGGAGGGGGTGAAGGGAGGGCAGTGACAAGGGAAAAAATAAGAACCAAGACCTGTCATGTAAAGGTACAAGATCCAAATAATGAATGTAACTGATTTCTCTTTCTCTTACTTAGCCTGCGTGGGGAACCAAGAGGGTGATGGTGCTAACACTACGTAATATGTAAGCAAGCTCAAGAACTATTTTTTGAGAAAATGAAAAAAATGGAAATAAAGTGGTTGTAAATGGGGAGGGGGGAAGAAGGGAGGACCAGGGACAAGGGGAAAGAATGAGAACCAAAACCTGT